AATTAAAAATCTGAATAAAAGAGTTTTTCAAAATATATTTTTAAATTAAGCAGCATTTTTTTAAATAATATTTTGAATTCAAAGCAATGCCGAGACATATGAAATATAAAAAAAATGCCAAACACAGAATTAGCAAGGAAAAATCGCTTTTGCATTCCCTAGTGCAAATACGTTGTGTAGGAGTGCATAAAAATTTACCCAGCGAGTTTATAATCAAACTAACGAGTTATATTCACATAGATTATTGTTATTACTGTTATTGCATTTGGCGCCAATAATTGGCGAGTAAAAGCCATGCAAGCATAAAATGCAAATAGTTGCATGGTACAACAACAACAAAAAAGCAAAAATTTTATGAAATTCGGTATGGTCGTGCCCTTAGACAGTAGATGCAGCATTAATGGGGTAATTTTACAAATAATGTTGTTGTATGAAATCACAAATGTTAACTACAAGTATTAAACATTTTTTCGAAATATTCTTACTAAAAAATACTTTTACATTTTGTTTCCATTTTTTAAAAATCCCACAATTTTTAGCGCGTCAATTCTGTATGCCTACATATAAATTGATTTGGCATCATTGGCCATCATATTTTTTTCAATACGGCTAACAACGTTTTCAGCTTTCTTTTACTAGACTACTCTCATTTATGACACGAAATATCGTAAGTCAGCTAATACTCCCATTTTTTACTCATTTATATCTCCATCTGCTATCGCTATTCATTCATATCGTAGGTTTTCTTTGAGTTTCTCTACTATCAATTCACTTTTCTGCACAACTATCTATACTTTGAGTTCGTCTTAATATCCGTATAAGTTACCTCATTAGCCATATTTAAACTCAGATTTCGCTTTATCTTTCTTTTTATTCTCTTTTCATTTTGTGGTTCATCTTTCTTTCTTCAGCGTTTCTATTGCTTCACTGTTCTCCTACAAAGAAAAACGCGCTCACTCACAACTTGACTAGCGCACTCACCCCCAGCAGACGTCTGTCTAGAAAACACATAAGCATAAATCACTTGTAGGACAACTTGGCGCCGCCGGTTTACTCATTTTGGTTTTATACTTATTTTTATTTGTGCAGTATTTTGCAATTCTCTTTTTTGCATTTCCTCACAAAATTTCACTTGTTTTGCCCATGCATATGCATATGTGATAATCATCTGTATATGTGCCCTTTTTTTGCGATTACTAACTTGTTTTATTAACAACTATTTGGTTAATTTTTGCGGCGAATTGTATTCGAAATTCGAGAAAATCGTTTCTCTTCGCTTACGCGTGTTCAAGCACATTTCAAAAAATTTCAACTTTTGAGCATTTATTCTCTGCATTAATTTTAAATAATTCCATAATTTTTTTTGGAATTCCTACAATTTTGATTAAAGTAATTATACTAAAAAATGTCTTAAAAAAGTTTCTATTTTAAGTTTTTTCGAAAACTTTCAAATCATATCTAATTTGGATAAAATAAAATAAAATACTTAATTACCACATAGGCAATATATGTTTACATATCATACTTAGCAGCAACAACTGTAAAGTGCTCTTATAATTAATTACCATTCACAATAATGCATTACAAAAAATTATTTTAGATTAATTAGAAAATTTAAATAAGTATTTAGTAATCAAAATATAAAAATATTTTTCGTTCCTTTGAGCATTACTAATCATTCTTAATCTTAGTTTTTAAGTATCAAGAAATTTTATTACAATTTTTTCGAAACACTGCTTATTTCATTTATTTGATTACAGCAGTAATCCATTTATCTAATTGGAAAAAATACCCAATTTTTTTGATTACTTGTATTACCGATCCTTTCGCACTTATTTTGGGTATGTTTAGGAGCATTCGACTTACCGTACTTTTACAATAGAAAACAATTACTAATTATTGTGAGTTACAATTCGTGTATCTTAACCAGCTTGTAATTACATGAATTTTGTACTGAGAGTTTTCCAATCATCTGCATTTCAAATATTTTTTACAAAAATTTTCTCGAATTTTTGAGTATTCTGTTTTTAATTCATTTATTGGAACTACTATAACACTAAATGTAATCATTACTATTTTTGACATAATGATTGGCGTAAATCGAAATACTTGTATAATCGTAAATAGTAACTTTATCGCAAATCGTAACGTAATTGTAATCATAATGTACTCGTAAATAGTAATATTATCACAAATTGTAAAATAATCGTAAATAGCAATGGTATCGTAAATCTTATTGTAATTTTAATCTTAATGTAATCGTAAATAAGATGGTAAATAGTAATCTAACCGTAAACAGTAATGTAATCGTAAATCGTAATGTAATGCTAAATCGTAATGTAATTGTAATCGTAACTAGTAATCTAATCGTAAATCGTAATGTAATCATAAATTGTAATGTAATCCTAAATCGTAATGTAATTGTAATCGTAACAAGTAATCTAATCGTAAATCTTAATGTAGTTCTAACTTAATCAGTTCTTTCACTATAAATATCCGTCTCTTTTAACGATTGTAAATACAATCGTAATGGTGTCACATTTTGTTTACCGCATATACGTTAGCAATTATAGTCATCATTATTGTATATAACACAATATTTTCATATACAATATTGGCGTTAAAACTGTAATGGTAATCTAATTGCCAACCTCTGGCTGCACTATATTGCCATTAAAAACAAATTTTAAGTTAAATGGTAATTACAATGTTATCTCTCTGAATATGGTCTAACAACGCTCACAGTTACAAAAACACAAACTGAAAATACAAAACACAATATAGTACACAGCAAAGGTCTCCTTTTCATCTACACACATCAACCTCCGTTGGTATATTTTTAGCGCCCCATGAGCAGGCTTACAGTCTAACGACTATTTAGGCAGTTGACCTGCATTAACACTACAGCAATATATTTATAAAAATACCACCAAAATAATGAGCACTAAATTTTCAGTCTCAAAAAGTCGATAGGACATTATTGGTATACAGTAACCCCGAGTAACAACAATTGACCACTGCCCTTGCTTGTACCTGGCTCAACAAGCAAAAAACAAAAACAATAGTAAATATTATTACCTTTACAACGCCACACAGTTTATACGCGGGACGGCTACACACACACACAATTCATATTATTTTACAAATCACCTAAATTAACAAATAAAGTACAATAAACTACACGTATGCGACATGTAGGTATGTTTATCTATATGTATGTACCGGTTGACGTCAACGGCATGTACATATGTATGCGTCAGTTAATGTGGACATGCGTATGCATGACTGGTACTAGGCGCGCCAGACATGACTACAGATGCAGATAGGCTTGGTGGCGGTTAGCTCCGACATGCCCCAAGCCTTCGCAATAGCTGTACCACTAAATTTGGATGAAGTGTGGTCAAGTGGACGTGCGCCTTTACCGCATTTAGCTCAAGGTTAAGCAGTAAATTTTTTGTAGTCTCAGCCTAGGCACACAAGTGGCGCTGCGAAGTGAACTTGTGAAACACTCAATCTTTTGAACAAGTGAAACACTAAATGAAAAATATCTTATGAACAAATGAAATACCGAATGAAAAATATTATATGAACTTGTGGAACACTAAACGCAAGTGAGTGCTCTTAATATATCCTTTTTGATGCCATTGTCGCAAAAATACTAACGGGTTTGAAACGAAAAATGTTTGCATTATTTTATATAAACAGTAACTTTGTTTCCACATTTGCTTATATTGTATTTAATTTATTTTCGTTAACACTTCGCAACTAAATGCGATCACCAACACGAAAATTTTCGTGATCGCATGTTTATTGCACACAATCGCAAGTGCTTGAAGCCTAATTCCTTGTATATTATAGTGTGCACTTAGTAATAAAAATAGATAATCTATCCGGCCCCGTACGCTGCATTAATCGAAGCCAATTAAGTGCTGACGTCAAATGAACGAAATTACCGTAATTTACGGTGACAAATGTCAAAAGATAATTTTACACAAAAATGTAAGTGTATGTATCTATATAAAACATCTGTTGTGCGAGCAACAGGTCTGTAGCTAAGCGAGGTTTTCGTTCTAAATATATGCAGCGCTAGCACAAGCGGTCAGTTTCAGCTTATTTAATGCATGCGACAACTTGTTATTTGAATTTATTAGGTGTTTATTGTTGGTAAATTATTAGAGTCGAGGATTCAGGTCGTGAGCTTTTTTATACGCTGTTATTAACGCTAAAAAGCAAAATGGCATTGGAACAATCTGGAAATAATATTCTTGTTGGCTTTGGCATCATTGCGCTGTACGGCAAAATCGACTTTTTTTCTGGGTATTGAATCAAATAAAGTCATAGTTAAAAACTTTGTTTCTCCGTTTTTTGAAGTTAGACTCAAAAGTCTAAATATTTGCTTTCACAATTGATGTTAGTTACTAGAAAAGTAAAAATATTGCAAAAGAGTAAAAATACAGCCATCATCTAGGTTTTTTTTTTTCTTAGTGTGTGATATTTTGCTGTTAGCCTTATAGGACAGTTGCTATAAGAGCTCAAAATGGGTTCTTTGAAAAAAATGTTATTATATAATTTCAGTCGACGGTTTGGCGTCAAACTTCTTCAATATTTAGAATCCATTCAATATTTAGGTATTCGTATAAAAGCGCGTACACCTTATACCTTAGAAAATTATAACTATTATATTGGAAAAAATTTTATAATTTTAAATGCAACTGTAAAATTTCGAAAAGTTATTGCATGAAAAGTAACTATCAAAAATGGATTTCTACCTGCAATCAAAAGTGTGGTTTTTCGTGTATGACTAACTGAGTTATACCGAAATATACACTGGAACTGTGGTTTTGGCTTGCTGTCTACTTCAACTATAATCGCTGATTTTTTAGTTAACAAATTAATTAAATACATAAACTTATTTGTTATAGTATTTTCCTTCCAATTGCACTTTAATTAATTAACTATCCTAAATGTTTTTATCAATTTTTCTCTTCTTTTAGAATGCCCTACCGCCATGGATGGCATGGAGCGGTTCGCGTGTCCTACACCTGATGTGCAGGGACGATATCGCTGCATAGACGATCACGTGCTATGCGACGGTTTCATCGATTGTCCGGAAGGTGAAGATGAAGATCGAAGATCGTGTATGTTCTACAAAACGGTAAGTCATATAACAAATCTGTTTGGAAGTAATTTATTTTATGTGTAAGAATATACAATAAGACTTTTTTAGAAAGTTTGAAAAAGTGGAAAGATGAAAATGATAAATGTTGTAAAATCGAATTTTAAATATTCTGATTTGAAAAATATTTTTTTTTGTTTTTTAAAATTGATTTTAGTTATATAATATATATTTTTAAATTTAACTTTTATTTTCAATTTTTTTTGAGTTTTATTTAATTTTTTTTATTAAAAAATATTGGCAGTTAAAAATATAATTTTAAATATTTTAATTTGACAATTATTTTTAACTATTCTTAAAGTTTTTTTATAATATATGAAGAGTTATATAATATAATTTTAAATATTTTGATATGACAATTATTTTTATATCGTGGACAAATATAAGTTATAAAATATATTTTTAAATATTTTGATTTTAAAAATATTTTTTATATATTTTTTAAGGCTTTTTTTACAAAAAAATCTCATTTGCCAAATTTTTCTTTAATTTTTTTAGTAAAAAAATATTAGGAGTTACAAAACATAATTTGAAAAAAAATTTTTTTGCTTATTTGTTTAGTCATATTTTTATATCACGGACAGATGAATATTTTTTTTGTTAATTTTTTAAATATTCTTTAACTTTTCATAATAAGAGTTATAAAATATAATTTTAAATATTTTGATGAGACATTTTTTTTTTTTGTTTTAAATTTTTTTTTTAATTAACTATTATTTTTAAATATAATGAGTTATAAAATATAATTTTAAGTACTTTGATTTAAAAAATTTTTTTAAAAAAATTTTTTACCCATATTTTTATATGATGGACACTTAAGAATTATAGTATATTTTTTAAATATTTTGATTTTAATTTCTGTTATATTTTTTTTTCATTTCATTTAATTTAATTTGTTTTATTAAAAATTTTGGGAAGTTTGTTTTAATCTTCTGATAATGCTTTTTTTATAAAAAAAATTTTATTACTCATATTTTTATAGCAAGGATTTTGATTTGAATTCTTTTTATGGTTTTTTACATATTATTTAATTTTTTTAAAATATTTTTATATTTAGTTTAAAATATTTTATCAGTTTTGAATTATGATTTAGTGATGAAAAATTAAATTTCCTGTTTTATTTATTAATGCATAGACAGGGCCAAAATGTGGATAAATGCAAAAAGCTCATCGAAACACCCAGAAAATGGAATTCCTAGCTAAAAAGCTTTTAGCCACAGAAAATAATTTCTATTTTTACTCACAGTCCACAGATATTCTAAACTAATCACGCACTGTATTTCCGCTTCTTTACAGGTTAAAGCTCACCTAGATGTTTTGGCGGATGCGCTGCTTCGCTGGGCGCGAGGGCGTTAAACAACAACAAAAAAACCATACACGTATTAAACACAACATAAACTCGCCTTCCTATGCATAAATGCAAACAGAACAAAAAAAAAAAACAAAAAACACTACACACCAGAAGCAACATAAATAGATATGTGGCTGCTAGCATTCACATGTCGAACACATAAACAACGACCAACACCACCGCAGCTAAATTGAAAGCGCAAAAGTACACGACAAACACAAAGCGCCAACAAACCGAAAGTCAAATAACAAATTATTCCCGCAAAATCATACGGACGGACACTAAAACACATACACACACACAAACTCCTAAACGCATGGTCGCATATCAGAGAGAGAGGGAGAGAGAGAGAACAACAGCGAGTGTGAAAGAGATGGCAAGCGAGTTAGAGCGAGCAAGCGTGCAAAGTTGTAGTACTGATTGTAAAAAGCTGTAAAAGTATTGTCAAAATAACGAAATACTAGAGAAATAGGAAACAAAAACCAACAAAAAAAAAACACAAAAATAAGTATAACAACTGAAGACATTAATTGTTATTAGCGATATGTGTGGCAAGCATGTGAAATGCTAACCAAAAAAACCAATTCATAAAATAGTTGTGAATTGAAATGAGCGTCTGCAAAAACCCCAAATGAATGCCAGCAAATGAAAACTTATGTATGTAGTAGTAAATGTTTAATCAACTAGCAAAAAGCAAAGTGTAAGGAATACTTAATGTTATACATATGAATTATGATTACAATTTTGATTACTTATTACTTAATGAAAAAACAATTACTATAACTTAACGATTATTAATTATTATGATTATTAAAATTTATTATAAATACAACTATAATTAATATTAAAAAAAAACCTACTATTATTAATATTTAAACAAAAGGAAATTTTTCAAAAATAAATAAATAAAAACAGCCATAATTATAAATAAATTAAATTGAATTAACTGAGATGTGGCAAAATATTTTCGACATTTATGTAATTACTAAATTAAATGATTGTATAAAAAGTGTTAATATATAAAAAACAAAAATCAAATGTTAATTAAATATACAACAGTAATTAATAAAATAACCGAATACCAAAGAATACGACGGCAGTTAGGTGTGAGTGGCGCTACGCTTTAGCATAGCAAACGAAAAGTTTACCCACCCCAAAGTCATGAGCTTTAGCAATTGTGTCAATTGAAGTAATGGCTTACGTATATGTTGTTAATTTTTTGGAAAAAATGCAAGAATGTATTACTCCGAAAGTTTTCCAAAACTCCGAATTATTTTTTTCAAATCTTCAATTTTAGTTTTACGCAAAAATGCAAACACGTCTAACTCCGAAAGACTCCGAATTCCAATTTTCTAAGTGTGATTGTGTTATTTTGCGACAATTTTTCAAAACTGAAACAAATTGCGCAACTGCGAAAATATTGCTGACCCCAAATATGTACGAATGTTTAAAAACGTTTCAATATCTGCCAAAAAACGAGTTTCTTTGTTTTCGATTTTCTAAAAGATTATTGTAATAATACAGTAATGTATGGAAAATGCATGCTGTTAGCAGTTTGCTTATTTAACCAAAGCGTTAATTGTGTTACTTTAACAAATTCGGAGTAATGCTTAATATTTAGTCGAAGTTCACAATAAACAAAAAACGAGTAATATGTCGTTTCTGAAGCTTACAGAAATTTATAATATACCACTTCGAATCAACCCTGAAAAAAGTTTACCAATTCTGTCACTTTGTACATTAAATCATTCTCAAACAGCATTGCAGTTAAAATAAGAGTAAATTTTTAAACACTAAAAACTAGATTTCGAATAATAAGTAGGTGAGGCGTATGCTTTTCAAAATTATACTTAATGTTTTCAGAATTTTGTTTATAAGCAGGTTTTTAAATTTTTTCGTTGGAACTTGTTTGTTCATATTAATGAAAAGCTTACAATAGATATATCACACAATTTTAAAACTCCGAAAAAAGATTTTGTTACTCCGAAAAAAATGTTATGCCTGGTTCTTTTAAAATAAAAAAAAATGCAAACTCCGAAAATTTTATGCACTCCGAAATTTTTTCAACTTTAATTCAGTACATCTTGATATAAAAACTGAAATTTCACAAATCGTTCCACTATCAGTTGTAAAACTACGGTTAATTTTCGAACTCCGAAAAATTTTTTGGCATCAAAGTTGCGTAAAAACAAATCAAAGTTGCAAAATTACGCAAAATTCTAGAATGCGGAAAAAGTTTTGACACTCCGAAAAGTTGTATTTAAAGAAAAAACAATATATAAATTCTTTTCTAGTTTTAGCGCTATGATACCTTTATATATTTGTATACATTTTTATTTTTTTAAGCTTCCTAAGCAATACCTATACATATATTTCACGGTGTGCCAGAAAAAATTGTGGATTCCACAACAATTATTTAACTTTTCATACCTTCTTTTGTGCGCGCTATCGCTTCGAAAATATCACCTGCACTAGGCGCATGACTTGTGCTCAAACGCAACGCACGCTCACACCTACCGAAAGTAATACATACATACATACATACATACATATGTAGTAGTATTGAAATATGTAAAATTAAAAATTACAACTCGTTAGCATTGCAGGTGTTATTCTATATACATGTACACATAAATAACCTAAAATATTTAAATAACGGCATATATATATGTATACATATATAAATATACATGCGAGTATATAGACAAATATGAAAATATATACTACTAAAGCGTATATTAATAGTGAGAGTCATGCAAACAGACAAACAAATATACATACATATATATAAGCAAACAAGTTACAATAGCATAAATTGTGTGGGCAATGTATTACAATAAATAAGAATGATAACGAAAATAATATACATACAAACAAATATTATATATAAAAAAAAATTACAAAACAACTATAAAAACACAAATACATGAAAGACTAAATATTACTAAAAGTTATAAGTGAAATTTATGAAGTAAATAAATAAAAATATATATACCAAAAAATTAATCATACAAAAATATTTTTAAAAAATGTTTACATTTATTTGCGAATATTTTCTTTTGCACTGAAAGATTTACTGTTTCGACTTTCAAATTCACAATTTTCGCTTTGAGGTTAAACTATTTTTTTTGTAGTAAATAAAATGCGCAAATGCGCCAAGACTTTAAATATATATGAATATATTACAACTGTTTTTCTTTATGTAAAAACTATTTAATTATTGCTCTGAATTAAAGTTTAATGAAACAAGAGCATAAATACAATTTAAGCAAAGTTAAACAATTTAAATCATTCATCGACTGGTAATTAGTATAAATATGTATATATATATATAAAAATTGTGCATTGTTTTTATTAGATGTTATTTTTATTACAAATTACATACAACTACAAAAACGAATTAAACCCTTTTCGTATTAACATAAATATGTCGCCTAAAGGTATGCTGAACTGTCTTACTGAAATAACGTGAATTTGCCTAGAGTTAGTCAAATTTTTCCCGAGTAACACAAACTCGCCTAAAGGTATGCTAAACTGTCTGAATTGTGGTGAATTCGCCAAAAGGTATGCTGTATTTTACTTGAATTCGCCTAAAGTCAAGCTAAACGATCACGATTAACGTGAATTGTGCTAAAGACATGCTAAACTGTCTAAACTAATGTGAACTGTCGCGCTCCAAAAGCAACACTGCAATTTTTAAGCACGTATACCTCTAAAATAGCTGCCGTTTGTGTTTTTTTTTTTTGGTAAATTATTTACAAAAGTAAGATTTCAATAAAATTTCAGTCTAAAATCAGTAAAGTTTATCTGACATAAAACTTTTTGTATTCAAAAATTTAAAAAAATTTTATTAAAAGCTTAAAAAATGTTTGTATTTAAAAATTAAAAAAAAATTGTATAAAAAATTCATAAATTCGAACATTTAAATTTTTTTTTTGTAATCTATATTTCATTTGTGTTGTTTCAAATGCGGCATATTTAACAAGAAATCAACACCTTCCGGTCCCTCTTCCGTTGCAGTGGAAGCGTGCGCTTTAACCTACACATTCACACTCATTCATCGTTCGTCTTCATATTGTATACATATGTGTCTATGTGTTCACATTCATTGCATGTATGTATTTGTATTGTACTTGGGTACACCTTTTTTTATAAACATATACATATATGCGTATATATATATCTATATATATATATATATATACTATATATATAAATATATATTCTCTCAATACAAATACTACGTAATTTATTAAAAAAAGGACAATTCGCTTTTGAAAAATTTTTAACAACAAAAAAAAAATAGTGTAAAAACAAAAACAAGTATTGAATTAAATTTAAATTAAATGGAAACAATTCTCATGGATATGGCAGCTATTGTAGATAAGTAAACTTATTTAAATTTAAAATAATTATTGAAAGCAAAAAAACACAAAAAAAAAATTCAATTAACCAAATTAATTGAGAAGTAAATGAAAAACCACACCAAAAAATAAAATAAAATAACAGTCAAATTATTGCCAACAAAAAAGCAAGTTTATAAAAATATATTACAAAAAAACAAACAATTATAAATAATAAATGATAAACAAAGGGCCTAACTGTAATGAAAATGCAATTGAACTGTCAAATCAAATCGTAGGCGAGTTGCAAAATGCACCGAAACCGTATACATACATACATATTACATATACAGTTAAGTGTTAGCAAGGCGGAGCGCGTGTATAAATGCTTGCAAATATTAAATACAAAAACTAATTTAAAATTTCAAAAACAAAAATAAAATTTTCAAAACCAAAAAAATAATTAATTAACATAAACACAAATGAAAGTATGTCTGAAATAAAACGCTAACACATACATACATATATAGTACATACATATAACATAGAGAGCGGAAAATGCCGAAAGCGTGTAAAATAAAGTGTGAGAACTGTGAAGCCTAAGAGCGTTGTTAGTTTTGTAAATTCTCAAATAAGCAAGTGAAATAAGAAAATAAATAAATATAAGCGAAAAAAACGAAAAAAAACATGAAAACTCAAACCACTCTTGTGTTGCTTTCTTTGGTACTTTTGATTTTCTTTCCACTTTTCCAATATGTTTGTACTGAAAACTAATATCAGCTATTTTTATATATATTTTTAGATTGACTGTTATAACAAATATTTTGAAAATATTTACTATAATTTAAAACTTTCAAAAAAAATATCGAAATATTTTGAGATCTGTCCAAAAACCAGATTGTATAGTTGAGATTATCTTTTATCTAAACACAAAAAATAGTTTTTATAATTTAACATTTTCGAAAAAAATTATTCAAATATCCTGAGACCTATTCAAAAACACGATTGAGTAGTTGATTTTATGTTTCATCTAAATAAAATCCTTTCTCTTACTTCTTTCAATAAAAAAAAAGTCCAAATACTCTGAAATCTGCGCAAAACCACGATTGAATAGTTGTGGTAACGTGTCAGCTACAGTTTCTCCCCATTAAGATTGCTATTTTTTTTTTTTAAATTTACAGAATTAAAGTCGTAATGAAGCAAACTCGCAAATTAAAGCTGAAATGCCAAAAAAGAAATTAAATACAACTGAAGTCGCTACCTTAGCAATAAGGCTTTCCAGCTTAGCAAAGCAGAAGGGAAAAAACATTTTTTTGAGTTACCCTATGGGTTAGTTTTGAGACAGCATACGTATTCTTAACACATATGTAAACAGCATTAAATCCGCACATAGGCACGTGATCACTTCCTTTTTTAAAGTATTGTGCTAGTTTGAAATTTTTTGAGGTTATACTGAAGTAAATAATTCGATAAATTCAAGGCCAATGAGTATGTCTTGTCACTACGATCACTAAATTATTTTGCTGATTACAGAAAGAGCGATATTCTACCGTTTATATAGATTAACCAAATATGTAAACTTTGGGTTATATCGAAGAGGCTTGAGGAACATAAACCTGATACTAATGTGAAAAGATTTTGAAATACAATTGAAAAACTGTAGTTTCGCAAATTTGTATATTAAATTTATTAACTATTTTTCTACGAAATACCAGAAAATGTATATTATTTTGAACAGACTTTCGAAATTTTAAACTGTTTCGAAAAAGTACGGACTCGATATGAACTGCAAAACTTTGCCAATTGATCGTGGTAGCAGAAATGCGCTCAGAGCACCTGCCCGTTAGTGAATCAAATGATGTTTTATAGAAAACCTGTCAATTATAGTGTCATAGACTCATATATGGAGAGATTAATATATATGAGTTGAGCTTAACAGAGACAGTGATTGAAACAGAACAATAAGAGTTAACTTGAAATATCAGCTAAAACCAGAGCTTCTACAACTAAATAGTATTCAATTGCATAAGTTCTAATAAGGATCGGAGTGTTCTATTATTCATTTTGCTATAATTTAAAAATTATAGATTTCATTACCTACAGAACGCTACAACAATCAGAGCTAGAAAAAAACAAAAACAAAAAACTGCAGCAGTTAATGTTGTGTCTCAAACGAATTCACGGTTGTGTCATAACAGAAATATAAATGCTCGTGAACTACTTGTATAAAAAATATCATGACATAAATTTTAATGCAAAAGTGTAATGAAAAACAAAAAATATCTATCACATAGCTAAATTACATTTTTAAAATTTTGTATTTTCTTAAAATTAAATTTTTTTCTTGCCAAATTGAGCAATCTTCAAATCGGTGTGCAAATTATGTCTACATACACTAACAAGCTGTAACATTAAGATGAACCATAGTTGCAAAGTAACCCACCTTCAAGAATCCAAAAAAAAAAAACACAAATAAAACTTGCTAAAATAAAAGCAACACAAAAATGTAAAAACAAAGCAGCGCAGTTAGTGTTATTAAAAATGGATTCAATATGTGTACATAAATCAAGACTATGCTAACGACAGCTGAACGTAGTGCTAGTAATAAGCGCCAGTGTTGGTAAACGCCCAAAAGGCAACGTGCTTGATAATAGTATTGGCAATAATCAACCAGTAGTTTGGCAGTGTTGAAAACATAAAACATAAGTAGTACATTAAATGAGTAATAGAATTGGTTATATTAAACTAGAATACGGTAAATATTTAGTGGAAGATGGAATATGCGAATACGCCATTGGCTAGTAATTTTAATGTGCTGTCCAACAAAGCTAAAGTTGTAATGAAATGTTAGTAGAGTACAGGCAGAAAACATAGAAAAAGAAGATACTAAAAGAAAAGCAAATAAACTTTTGAAAATACAAAAACAAATACATATAACCGATAGTTTGGTAGTTAAGCGGAAAATATTAGTGATGCGGTAAATAAAGTAAAGTTTTCATACAAGGCATAATATAACGGGCCAGCAAATTTTCAAAAACAAAACTAAACTAACTAAAAAGATAAAGAAAGCACATAAATACCTATTTTTCGGCCTATTTTTATATGAAGTAAAGTAATGGAAATTCTGTAGAGAATTTCTTAAGATTTTTGGAGAACGCATTTTAACAAAAATAGCAGGTATTTTTTCGTTAAAATTTTTTTCTAAAAGGAAAAAAAATTCTTTAAATTAAAACAGATTTTAACTTAAAAAAAAAACGGGTTGAATAGTTGGTTATAACACACATATATGGTATTGTATATACATAAGAGACATAATAGAGATTGATATTCAGTGTGAAAATTTGAATTTTGTGCTAATAAGATAATTAAATGATTAAATATTTTATTTGACTTTGACTTTACTTTCAAAATAATTTCGAAAAAAAGTTTACAAATTTTAAATTAGCAGTAAAAAATTTGATGATTTCTAATTTATTTTAATTAATTTATTTTTAAGTTAAGTATAGTTGAGTTATTTAAACAAAAAATGAATAATACAAAATATTATAATTTATATTACCTTTGATATATTACTTTTTATTGCCTTGTAAAGTATCAGTTATAAATAAAATTTATATTTTCACTAACTCCTGAAGTA